CTACACACCATACACAGTTTTGCCAAAATCGATGATGAATCTTTTGAGCAAGTAATTAAAAATTACGAATTTTGTGTCACTCCAACCTCAACTATTTATTTTTAATCGAAATTCGATGACATAAGCAATTTTGTCAATTATTCACCTGATTTATGAGATGTCTTAAATAATCAAATGAATAATTTTAAATGCGTAGAAAAATCATTAATTTTATAAACATTTAAGAATACTTAAGATTTTYTTTTATCTTAGATGTTCTTTTTCAGTTATGAATAAGGTTGTCCGTTTTTAAATACCAAGTTTTAAGTATTTTACATAACAAAAAATTATATATTACATAATATGAATTTATATCTTAGACCCATTTAGTATTGAGTCAACGTTATTACGAGTCTCGATAACGACTCGTAAATATTATATTAACATTCTAAATCATGATTCATTGATTCATTTGTTGTACATAGTATAAGCATGATAATAATTTAGAGTATATATTATAGACTATAGAGTAATGGTGTTCGACAGCAGCGAGTYGATCAAAAATTAAAACTAATTTACCTATAACATTGTAAGTTAAACTAAAATGTTCGATATATATATATTATGTATAATATATATATTTATCATATTATATCTACCGAACATTAATATACAAATCAAATACTTTTTATAATTAATTATAATATAAAAAAATTTCCAAATATCAGAAACAGAGTTGTACGTCGCCTTGTGYATTGTGTCCACTAATCTTGAGTACTAGCATTCAAATAATAATCGCCGTTTTTCCTGAAACGAAACGATTGTATAATACATTTACTACATATTTAAGCAACAGCGTGGAAAATTTGTATGGATAGATCACGAACCCGTTCACGTATACCCATTCGCCCATCAGATTTTTGCTGGCATTGTCACACCGATACGCTTTAAAGTCGTCCCAACTGGGACACCTATATGCAATATAATCCTCTCTGGACCATATCGAGTGTGCGTAGTAATGGTAGGATATAACGTGACTACACGAACCATCTATAAAAACAGAATATATCACTCAACTATAATAACATACGTGACAATTCRCCACCACTGCTATAGCGTCAAGAGGACACCCGCTTTAAAAAAGTTTTATTTATTTTGAGATAAATTAAATTATTGAACCTCAAATATATTATTATATATAAGCTTAAATTCAGAGTTACTTGCGATTTTTCGAGAGTTAATAGAGAAAAATATTACGATAAAAATGTATCCTATTATTAAATAATCCACAC